TAGGGAAAGTCTAGGCGGGGTTAAAGTTCAGCTCATGGAGCTGCTCAGCGCTGCCTGCAGTTTAGCAGAGTTGGAAATGTGAAAGCAAGAAGCAGGCTCCATTCTCCCCCCCTCTTTCTCTCTCTCTCTTTTTCTCTCTCTCCCTTTCTCTCTCTCCCCCTCTCCCTCTCTCTCTCCCTCTCTCTCTCTCTCTCACACACACACACACACACGCGCGCACACACACACCTCCAAACCACAACCCCCCCACAGCAATCATGTATTCTCCTCTCTGTCTCACCCAGGTAAGCAGCTGTTTGGATGCATTTGGGGCTGGTTTTGCAGGGTGGTGCATGTGCGTGTGTGTGTGTGTGTGTATGTGTGTGCGCGGGGGGGTGTGCGGGGGGGGAACCACAGCTTGAAGAAAGTAACTTTGTTTCCATTAGGTTGCATTCCTCTTCTTGCACGGCCATTTGTGCAGGCACATGGCTAATGGCGCCTACTTATTAATGGTTTAATTAATATTGGGGAGGGGGGTCCTGCTCCGATGCACTGTTTTGGGGGGCACGATCCGCACGTGTGCGGCAGTGTTGCAGCCCATGACATGCTTGGTCATCTGCAATCGATACTCCCCGTTTGTGCTTCCGATGCGATTAATGCATGAGAGAAAAAAAAAGAAGACTAGTAAGAGCTCTACTTCGGGGTAGGGTTGGGTTTTTTGGGAGCATTAAAAAGTGCTGCATTTTCTCTTCGGAGACGCAAGTGACTGCATTGCTTTCCCTCCCTTGAACTCCAGACTTTTGTCGGTTCGTGGATGCGGTTCAGGGCTCCCTCCCCCCCGCGCAGCCCCGGAGCTAGACGCTGCCCCCGTGCACCGAGCCGGGAGCTGCCCGCAGCCCCCCGCGCGTGCATTGCACGCGTGCCCAGCCGTGGCCCCGGCGTGGATGCGGGCTTGGCGGGGCTCCCCGGGGACGTGTCGCTGGGACGCCGAGTGGCACTTGCTCGGGTGTCACGTTGGCCTGGATATTATTTTATTTTTTTGGAGGGGGGTGGGGGGGTTGCAAGTCCTGCTCACAAAGTTGCTCGATCCCTTCCCCGGGCTGCGGAGTTGTCCTGGCTGCAAACGCCCCCTCCCCCGCAGCCCCGGCCCCGCGGAGCGGCTGTGCGCGGCCGCCCTCCCCGCTCCCGGCTCCACTCACTTCGCAGGACTTCGGGCAACTTTTCCTGCTCACCTCTTCCCCCTCCCTCTCACCGCCCCTCAGGCAAAACACTGCCTTTTTGCGGCTCCTGATCCCGTGGTAGCTTCTTTTTTTTCATATTTATTTTCACTATTGAAAGGCCTGAAGCTGGAGTGAAGGGAGAGTGTGTGCCCCCCCCTGCTTCCCCCCATGCAGCCTGGGACTGTGATACCTTCCAGCCTGAGTGCAAATCAAGTGGCCCCTTCCCTCTCTTCTGCACACAAGTTACAGCACAGCCTTCCAGTTACACACCTTCCTTTCGCAGGAGATAATGGTTTAAGGAGGAAATACTTCCTGGTGGACTCAAACCCCAGCCTGATTTCCTCCTGCATGTAGGATTGGGAGGCTATTATCCCTTTTAGTTGCTCATTAGTATTTTTAAAGAGGAGCTCTTGAAGGCAGTTTCCCACAGGAGAGCTAGCCCTGCATCCTGGGGACGGGGCGCTTTTCCAAGTACGCTTGGGAGCTGCAAAAAAAGTTTCATTTTTCGTTCTTCCCTCCAGAAATCGATGGACTCCTTGCAAGCGAAGTGGTGGGAGGGAGGAACTTTACAGTACTAAGCTCACCCTTGCTTTTAGGCAAAAGGCAGGTCTATGTGTTGACATGAACGTGTCACTCGCACAGAAACACGGGGTGCAGACCTTGTGCCCTTTTTGACCAGAGTTTATGCCACTGATACAACCCTGATAAATCCCTACTTTCTGTCATTTCGCCTACTGGAGGAATGACAGAAATTTAACTTCGGAAAGAACAGCCAAATACTCATTTCCTTTTCAAACTGCACTTGTCTAATCCTGTTTTTAGTAGGCCCAATGGTACATTAAGGAGATTCAAAATAAATCCGTGCATTTTTCCCTTTCCTTTTTTTAATATTAAATATAGTCTCATTTTGTTGTCAAAATCTTATATCCTTGTTTAACATTTGGGAAAGTAGTTTAGGGATTCAAAGGCCTCTTTGCAAACTGTATGCCGAGAATGATCGATGAGGCGGTTTTATCATTTTATACAGAAAACGTAGGCTAAATTTTAATAAAGGCTTAAGTGGTCTTTTGTTTTTCATTTCAGAATTAATATAAGCTTTTATTGCTACAAGTTTTGGGGTAAGGGTTTTTCTTTCCTTTTTTATATTTTAGTATTGGCTCAGTTTTAAGGGGAAAACCTTAGAAGGATGATTTGGAAAAATACAAACAAACAGACAAAACCATGGTTAGGAAGCACAGTCATCCCAGTAATGCAACTGGAATGGCATGACTGTGTCTGCTAGAGAGGTTTGAACCCTCTCTCAGAAATATACACACTATTTCATTCACATCTGTTCTGTAGATCTAGAAAATAGTTTGGGCCAACATGAGCATCTAATCTGTAAAAAAAATACTTGAAAAAAACATGAAATGCAGAACTATTAATATTATGAGGGTTTATAACTTTGACTTATTTTTTAATAGATCAGTGTAAATAGATCATAAAAAATGATTACCATAAAATGCTACCTTTTCTTCTCCCTCTCTTTTGATATTAAGGCCCTTTTGTTTTTTATGAGTATGTAATTTAAATATATAAATATAATTTGAAGGCCCAAATTTTTGATGCAGGATGCATCTCGGAAGCACCATAACTACAAATAGTGAAAGAGCATTATATTAAAACTTAGTTTTTATTTTTTTCCTTTTAAAAAATGTATAGCACACCCTTAGGGTACCATTTATTTTTCAAATATTCTTTAATTCTTAAAGGGGATAATGTTTTTAAACCAAACTTTTGAACTATTTTATAAACGCTGAGAAAAGGCAAAAATCATACTGTTTTCTAACAGTTATTTTCAATCTTAATTTTTTGCTCTAAGCAAGTGAGCGGATCTGCACACCTTTGCATGCACTTTCATGGACATATTTCCAAAACTTTTTTGGGAGCTTAATAACATTTTAATAAATAACTTAAAAAAAAAAGAAAAAATGGCAAAATTGGTTTTCCAAATGGTTGGGTGGCTTTATTTCCATTCATACTTTGCTGATTCCTTCTCATTGAGATTTCGGTGGTTGGATTTTACAGGGGAATATTTTATGAAGACAGTTTAAAAGTTAGTTTGGCAGTCTTCTGTTCTTGAGTCATTAACCTTTTTGCTTAGTACACCATTTTGAAAACCACATTAAAATGCAACATGTATAGATACACATGAATGGAAGGCATATATCTTTCTCGTGGCATAGCAATCTTTAAATTTAATACAGATTAAGAACCACTGAAAATGATTACCTGATCTTTAGGCCATATAATGGTTCTGTCGCCTTTCAAAGTTTTTTCTCCCTCTTTCAGGTTCACATTGTAGCTCAGCTCTAGTGCAGACTACAGGAGCTGTATTTTGGATAGTATCCAGCGTAGGGCCAAAAAAGTCGTGAGCATATGAGATCAGTCAATACGAAGTCCTGTTGAAAGCAGAAAGTTAAATATTTCAGGATATACCAAGATGTGTTTAGAATTTATTAACGCTTCAAATGATCTCCTGTTTCATTGCAGGTCTTTTTAGCAAATTGATTGTGTACCTTAGCAGATAAACTTTGACTTGACAAAAGGCCTTTTCCCATTCTTCTCTTTTTGAGTGTATGTATTGGGGGAAAGAACTCCAAAGATCAGAAGTGTGTTTTTATTATTTTTAATAGCTTGTGGCAACCTGCAGCTCTTTATCTTTTTTTTCTATTACAGCAATTTTTCATGTTTGAGAGCCCAGCTACACATGTTGTGATTGCTGCCTTCTCTCACTTTTTGAATCCACCGACTAAAAGCTTTTTTACTTTATTGACATTTGAAACTGATCTTCTCAAGTAGAGAAAAAACCCCCAAAATGTTAATCACCAACTTGTTTGAATTTATTTTATATCTTATATTTTAATAGTCATTCACGTTTGTAAGTATTCTTGCACTCTGTTAATGTTGTTGTGTCAGTTTTGGTAATTTCTAATAGTCCCCCTTTAAAAAAATAATTAAAAAATGCTGTAAAGATTACATAGTACATACACTTTAAGAGATGCACAGAATATGTGTGATTAACCCCTATGGAAACTTGATACACAGCCTTGAATTGTGACAGGATTTTGTTACTAGATGTTTCCATCATTGATTTTCATTTTTAATATTTTTTTTGGAGCAGAAAGGTGTTTTCTGGGGAAAAAAGCCATTGGAGCTAGACAAGGGATATATTTTAATAACATGATTTTTAAGGCTATGAAACTATTTCGGTAGGTGGTACGCTGTGCATGTTAATACAACAGAGGAAAGTCAGTTTAATTGAAAAAAAAATTGTCACCTGGAAAGAACAGTGCAGAGTTAAAGTTTCCTGTCTGTGCTCTATATAGTTTTAATTTTTTTCCCGTAGGGCCCAATCCCATGAATGGGAGCAACTCACTTGTGGGAGTTCCTCTTGGCCTAAAGAGTGAATTTAGCTCCTCGCATATGTTACAGAATCAGGCCCTTAAGTTGTACATGCATTTCTATAAGTAAAGTCATGTGCAGTAATGCTGTCACTTAGAGAAGAATAACCAGCACAATTATAGTGAATTATAACGTGTGATTTCTGTAGAAACATAACGTTTGACTAATGTAATTTTTGCGTACATTTAATAGTTTAAAAAAACCAAGTATACGGGCCTTTCTTGCAACATACTTATTTGAGTTGAAAGGAACTAGTCAATCCCGATTGTTTTTGTCTCAAGTAAAGAGAACAAACTTAAAATAATGTTACTGAAGGCAGGCGGTGTGTTTGGGAAGAAAAAAGTATAGCAGTGGTATTCTTTTAAAATATATTAGTCAATCTATAACAAAAGATGCTAGCAACATCCAATCATTTCTTTTTGGAGTATGGTGGTGACGCTAAGATTTTCTGCTTTCGGATTTTGCATGCAAATTTCCCTCTCTTTTTATTTTTTTATACTAGGGAATCAGAACTTGTCTTGTATCCATGTCACAATATCAGATTTATTATTTTTGGTCGGCTAAGTATAAACCAAACTGTTTTTTTAAACTCTGTAAGGTTAGAGTTTTCTAAGCTTTTAATACAATTTACTTTTAGGCATGCTGGAGAAATTTACAAATGAGCTGAATTATTTGCTGTTTCTGGGGGTCCCGTAAGCAAAAAAACCCAACCCCTTGTATCTGTAAAATCAGTTATATTGGAATGTCATTATTCTGCCGGTCGCTGTTTCCAAATACATCTTAAGGAAAGTTTTTTTGTAGTTCAGACTTCCCCATACAAACATTGATTGGCATCCAAATGTTTAGAATTTGCCAAATTGGCGGGCATGTGCTGGCTACCCCACAAGCAATGGGGTCAGGGAGAGAGCAGAGTAAGATATGTATTCTTTGAGCATGGATTAAGGCCATTACAAATTTATGTACTTTTCAGCTTTTGGTCTACTTTCAGATTTTTTAGTGATTTGAAATTTTAGGACCGAGCCTAAACTTCCTGTACACTTAAGCATATTTGAAATGTTCTCTATCCTTTGCAATAGTGATATCATAGTCTTTTGGTTGATTTACATAGAAACCCTATGTGTGTGCGTGTGCATATGTGTAATGAAAGGAAGAAGTATTTATATATATGTGTTCATATGAATACGCAAGTGCTTGTGTTTCCTGCCCTATCGTATATATGCTTGTCATGACTTAATCCTTACTTTATGTGCATATACATTTTTCATGTGTTAAAGTAGTGTTTGAAGGAGATATTATGAGTTCTTTGCCGGTTGCGGTTGTGTTTTCATGATATCAATAATTTTGTTATCATTCCTCTAGGATGAATTTCATCCCTTCATTGAAGCACTTCTGCCTCACGTCCGAGCATTTGCGTACACGTGGTTCAACCTGCAAGCCCGAAAACGAAAATACTTCAAAAAACATGAAAAACGCATGTCTAAAGAGGAAGAGAGAGCAGTGAAGGACGAATTGCTAAGTGAAAAACCTGAGGTCAAACAAAAATGGGCATCCAGACTTCTGGCAAAGCTACGGAAAGATATCAGGCCTGAGTTCCGAGAGGATTTTGTTCTCACAGTCACAGGAAAAAAGCCTCCGTGTTGCGTTCTTTCCAATCCAGACCAGAAGGGCAAGATGAGAAGAATTGACTGCCTACGCCAGGCAGATAAGGTCTGGAGATTGGACCTTGTTATGGTGATTTTATTTAAAGGTATTCCGCTCGAAAGTACTGATGGCGAGCGCCTTGTAAAGTCCCCACAGTGCTCTAATCCAGGGCTGTGCGTACAGCCACATCATATAGGAGTTTCTGTTAAGGAACTCGATTTATATTTGGCATACTTTGTGCACGCAGCAGGTAAGTGCATTTATACAAAGTTGTCCAACTTTTCTGTAAGCTCCGCTCCTCTGCTGTACCATCAGAGCGTGTGTCATGACCTGGCAAAGGCTGTTTGAGGCAGTGTTTGAATTTTGAGAAAATGTATGCCATGTAAATGTGGCTGGCAGCATGGGTTTAACTCCATCTCCAAGGCTAACCAGTGAGGAAGACAATACTGATATACTCTGGTTGCCAGTGCAAAAAGTAGCAACAAATGAGATTGCATTTTCTGTTGACTTTAAAGAGCAGTAAGTGTAAAGATATGTTGGTTTTCTGCAGTGCTGTCAAAAGTGTTGCCATTAATATTAGCATAGGAAATGTGAAAGGCCTTTGCTTCTTAAACTATCTAGAGGCTTAGTTATAATGTATCTTGTTTTAATACAGGCCAGGGAAAGCACAGAGATGGGCCTTAAAAAAACCCATACAAACACCCTTTGTATATGTGTTATGTCATTGAACAAATAAATTGAGGGAAACAGGAGTGTCCAAGTGCTGATTGTGAAAAGGGCCAGCGCTAAGAGGCGCTGAGTGCCCTCGATTCCTATCGATACGTATGGGGGGGACCTGTGCCACGTCTTACAGATTCGGGCCCAAAGTGTAAAAGAAACAAGTCACACAAATCTGGTTGGTGCAAAGTACGGTTTAAAAAAAACTCCCATCCGTGTAATCAACTGGTAAAAAAAGATCAGCATTAAAAGAAATAACTAAAGTGTCATAAAGAAATGACGTGGCAGCTGACCAGTTCTGAGAATTGATTTTTGATTTTGATAACGTTACATTCAGGAGTGCAGAAAGGCATGTTGTGAAATTTGGTACTTTTGTGACTCCAGTGCAAAACCTGCCTAGCTTGTGAATATGAATATATTCAGCAGCAGGATAAAATGCTATTCTGTTGCATTTATTTTGTAATCATCTTGTAGATAAGTTGTTGTTAATGAAATGTTAGGCCCGGGTATTTGTAACTTGTTGACTTTATGTATTGACACACCTACCGATCTCACTGGATTTCTTTCTGAGCAGTCACTTAAGCCATGGGGTCAGAGAGAGTTGAAAAAGGAGTGAAGCAAAGAGAAGATGGTGGAATCTTATCAATAGAAACTAAATATAGATACATTTCTTATTATTAAAATAAGAAAAACCAGAGACTATATCTATTTTCTAATATTATCTCGGGATCTATAAAGATTGCTGACTATCCAAAAGATTCATTCAATAAAGCCATTCAAACTTAGGATGCACAGTGTCATTTCAGTAAGGTTTACAGGTATATTCTGAGGTTGGAAAGTATCTTTGGGCATCATTGTGGTATTTTACACAGATAACCTGTGGAATTTATTTTGCAATTAGATGCGACTACATATTTATGGTCCAGGAAATGTAGGCAAATATTGTGGAAAGAGGGTTTAATTTACTAGGTGATTTATTATGTCGTATAGTAAAATAAGAAGTACTGATTTGTGGCTTAATGGAGAGAGCATTGGACTGGGTTGCAGGAGATATGTTCTTGTTCCTGGCTCTTTCAGTGTCTGACAAGGTGACAGTACCTCAGTTTCCTCATCTGTAAAATGGAGACAATTATAGTGACTTTCTTTATAAAGCAGTTGAGATCTACTTGAAAACTGCTGGGTAAGAACTAGGCATTATTATTAATTAGGCTTACATTCAGCACTAATGTTTAGTCAGTATTGTGTTCCATAAAGTAAAAGCCAGCTTCCGAAAAGCACAAAGCTTGTCAGCAGAAGCCAGTGATCTTGTTTCAACCTGCGTGCAGGATCATAGAAACATAGGGCTGGAAGGGACTTCAAGAGGTTTATTAGTCCATTGCCCTGGTTATGCAGAATGTGCCTGGGAGACAGAAAGAAACAAACAGCTAAACTACATGTATAAGTAATAGAAAGAGGTGTAAAGTGATTTAATTTTTCCATTATGAGTCACACATCCCATATTTAAAAGTTGAGTATTTTTATTAGTGGTATGTCATCTTGTCGATATGACTGACAACTAGTGACCGTAGGAAAGTAGGGCTGGAAGTAACTTCTTGAAGACATCTAGTCCAGACCCTGTGAGCTCTTGTTTTTTAATCTGTTCATCAGAAACAGAAAACAATTGTGCTAATTGTTCTTTGGACTAAACCTTTGCCATAGAAACTTGAACGCTAGACTTGAAAATCGTTCTTGAGTTACATGTTCAGGTCCTTTTAAACGGTAAACCTCTTTAACTCTACAATTTGCTATTTTTACCTTTGTCGCTGATTGTACCTACTGCCATACATGGTTGTGGCAGTTATTTGTGCTACCAGATTTATTAATAAACAGATTAATCAAGTGCAACACAACGATATTTATGTAGTAAAGTATAATCATTATTTTTATCCTTCCAATAGGCATGATGAAAGCATCATAGATAAAGCTACCTTTAAAAAATTTTTAAACCCGGGTGTATCCCACAATTCTTTTTACACTGGAACACCGGCCAAGCTGACAGTCATTGGTTCCCACAGACCCGCAGTCATGGCAGCTTGTGCTGTGTGTGCAACAGGAGAATTACAAAAGAAAATATTAAGGGTCCTTTTGTCTCAAAATATTTCAGACGGTTTCAGAGTCTTACAGACCTGTTATTTATGATGAGGAAGCTGCCAATACAAATATTAGGTAGGTTGGTCAACTTACATATAGCTGATTTGACAAGCATCTGCTATAGTACAGAAGATTTGTAAACACTAAACAATGTTTTTACCTCCTTAAAAGTTTTGAGAAGTTGCCAGTATTGGCAGGAGGCACAGACTCTGAAACGTGCTTTAAGATATGTGCCAAAACCATTGTGGCCTTTTCACCCATAGTGCTTGCTGCTTCTTCATCTTCTTTTTTTTTCTTTTTGGATTCTGTTCCAATATGCCTTATTTTCGATGACTTCAACAGTGAGATGTTCCTTTCCTTCTAAACATGTACGATAATTATTGCTTTGAATCCAGGCTTTTTTTCCAGTCGGACACTATCATCTGTAAGAGAACACATGTGCACAGATTTAAATAACACTTCTTACAGAGCCACAGAAATGAATTATTTTCTTTAAGAACTGTATAAAACAAGAAAACTAAAATATGCAAATACACGGACTACATGCCATTTTTGTGAGAAAATAATGAACAATGCTGCTTCAGGAATTAGAGAGCGACCAAAAAATTTACAGCTTCAGTCCTAATTTGCCGTTTTAAATCTGTTTAAGCAAAAGCAGACAGCATTCTCCTCTCCTTCACTTGGGTTTGCTTTTTAGTTTTCACTTCTTCTGCACATGTATCAAATGACAACTTGGAAACCATTGTGGCAAACCGTTTTCTTTGTGGGAGTATAACAGTAAAGCTAATTTATGGCCAGTCCCAAACCAGATGATCTGTATCAGAATCTACAATATACCAGGCACGTGGCGAGGTCACAATTTAAGTTGTTAAGGTCATAACCTAAGCCACCAGGCAGTTGACCTTTTAGATAAAGTTAACCTTTGTTCATTAGTAGGCACTCAACCGAGAACTTTCTTGAGTTTTATACTGCTTTGGAGTTACTTCTGCTAATGTGATCAGATTGTAGAAAAGATTCTCCATTGAAGTAATTAAATTTTGTGAGAGGTCACAGTTTTTAGAGACTTTCTTAGTGGACAAAGCTAGATTACAGGCCAGAAAGGGATAATACAATGCTTGAATTTTTTTTCCTGATAGATGTTATTAACCGTTCTAGGCAAGAATTAAAGCTAGTGAGATGTTAGAGGGACAAAATTGCCTAATTCTTCAGGGCATTTAAAATTTCTAAGTTTAAATAAAGTCTGGGGTTAGCATTTTGTTTAAATAAGACTGTTTTACTGGTTCTGATACTATTCAGAACAGAAGCCAAAGTTGAAATAGGAAGTCTGGCATATTTTTGTGACTATGAACATTTACTTAGCATTGAAATATGTTCTATGGATAATTGACTATGTAATAGTAGGTACATGTGACCTTGAACTTAAAGTAGACTCATTTTATGCTGTAATTAGTGTATTTTAAATATTTATACTTAGATCATAACAAAGGCATATCGATTGAAATTATGTAAATACCAGCCAGAATTAAAATAGTCTCATATAGTCAAAATATCAGTGTAAGTGTCTTTTAGTTCCAAGTCAGAAAGGTACATAACACTTGCACTGTAATCTTTTAGTACAATTGTTATTGATTGTTGCTGCATTAATCCTGTTAATAGCTTCAGTCAATTCAGTATGTAGCAGTGATGTGAGGGGTGTTCTAACAATACTGTACATCACGAAAAGAGCTGTTGCAGCATCTTGAAACTCCTGATACCTGCTTTACAAAAGTATAATGTTTTCCTGTATAAGGTATTGCTGATTACCACATTACATACACCATATTGTTTACTTAATTACATTGTAAAGCAGGCTCATTTTTAATTATTTAGATTACATTCTTGCTTTGTTCTGATGCAGCATTTCTATTATTTCATTTAAGCCCAAAATGCTAGGTTTTGACGCATTTTGGTTTTATTTTGGTTACGGTATTGCCATTCCATCGTACAGTAATCCAGATAGCCAGGATATGCAGATTGGCCAGATGGCCACGTTAACAGATTGAGAACTCACTTCCCACTGCTAAAGAGCAGGTGTAAGATCAGTAGGGTTTTTTTGCTCCCAAGATTCATCCCAAATGCTCGTTAGCTGCGTGTATAATGGCATTAAAAAAGCGCCACATTTCAGAGCAGCATCTCTGCCATGTAGTTAATATGTAACATATATGCAGCTTGTGTACGTATCTGGAGATTTCTAAAGCATTTATTTACCCTCACTATAAAACTTCTGAAAATCTGCTTCTAATATATGGCTGTCATCGTCCAGCCTTATATCAAAGCAATCTTAAACGTTTTATTCATGAAGCAGGATGTTAATAATACATGTGCAGTACTTTAAAAATGCAGATTACGTTCACTCTTTAAAAA